GTGGAAAAATCACAATTGGACATCTCCAATTGTGATAAAAAAAATCACGAACAACAGCCACAAAACAATCCACTAAGAAGATATAAAGGAATTACACAAGTATACTCTCAATTACCTAGCGAATCCACGCCCGACTTGAACCAACCTCTATGTGTCTCTTTTAACCCCGTCGTCACCTCGAAATTGTCTTGATGATGAGCCACTCCAGAATCCACCAAAGCTTCAGGCTCGAATTCTTCAGAATCCATCGAAGAACAACTCTTTCTTTTGTGTAGAACAAACAAATAATCCTTTGATGTATACTCTTTAAACCATGAGTTGAACACTCAATCAAAACATCAAAGAAAACTAGCAAAATATCCCCAGATATAAACCTTAGAACCCAAGAAGAAGATCTGGAGAAGTAATCCTAGATTTGGACTAAAACACGTATTTATAGAAAACTGTCCCGCGATCTCCGCTCGAGCGTCGGATTGGCCGCTCGAGCGGACCTACGCTCGAACGCGGAAAGTTCCGCTTGAGCGAGAAAAAACAACATCTAGTATTTTTGTAGGCGAATAAACTTCTGGAACTCAGCATTCTCCGCTCGAGCGGGAGAATGTCCGCTCGAGCGGACAGGCAACTTTGAATGTATTTTTGCATTTTGCTTCGGGGGCGCTGCCCCCTCAACCCCTGCGAGTTAACCGGGCAACTCGATCCCCGTCATAATCAGCGAAGTGGCAATCTTAAAAGTATTAACATCACAAAATTTTCTGTAAGGCACAATTCGGGTTGGATTCGCATCTAAAAACTCATAGCCTCACTGAAATAAAAATGCGAAAACAAATACAACTGAAAGGAGTTTTGTCAAACGGGATTGCCAAGAATAAAACCTAACAAAATATTTTTCAAATTTTTAAAAGAAATTTATGTGTTTTAATAGAATTTTGAATTGTATGTTTGGTTATGAGTTGTAAGTTTTTGTATCAAATCATATGTCACATCAAAAATTCTTCACTCAATTCAAACTCTTTTCAAAACTCTTTTACCAAACAAATTTTTCACACTCAAATCATAATTTCAAAACTCACAAACTCAAAATACAACTCCTACTCTCAAATCATATTTAGAAAGCTCTACCAAACGCAACTCTAATTGCTTTTCAACATAGGTGGCCAATGTGATATATTAATGGACGAGATTTTTAAAATTAGGTAAATTATAAATATATTTTTAAAAATTTGATTAAAATACGAATCGTTTTATATAGTTTTATAAATTATATTTTGTCTCTTGAGATTTTTAATTTCATAACAAATCATCCATTTTATTAATAAATCATCAAATCAATTAATAGTTTTTAATGATATTAAAAATATGTTTTAACTAATAATTTAAATAATATTATTATTGTATAGGAGAGCAATTATAAATTTTATTTTTTCAGTTAATTTTGTTAAATAAAAAATTCAGAGAAGGGGTATTTATAAATTTTCAAATCATAAGGGACAATCTGTACTTTAAACAAACCTTAGAAAATATATTTGTAATTTCCCTCAAGTTCTGTGAATAATTTCTAAATGAAAAATATTTCAATTTGACCCATAATGATATAATATAAAAGGTGTCAATGTTTTATTTGTCACATGCCCAATTACATAGAACCTAACTCCCTTATGATATTATTATGGATGATTTTGTAAGTTTAAATAGTGAATATATATATATATATATAAATGCAGAAATTACATTGATCTCTTTTGAGACTTGAAAAAAATACGATCATCTCGCAATTCTGACATAATTATATTGGGTTGCATTTTAATAAGGTTAAATTGATAGAAATTAATCAAGATGGTGCAAAAACACAAAAATAAACATCATAAAGCATATATTTTCGTGTAAAAGATATGACAATATCATTTTTTTCATCTATATAAAAGGCTAAGTCTGGCCTTGTTTGGGAAGTTAACTATTTTAGTTGGTTATTGAGTTTTTAACTAGTTTAGCTTGGCTAAAAAAGTTATGTTCAGAAAGTTAGTTAGCTTTTTTTGTAATTGATTTGATAATTGTGAGAGAAAAGGTAAAATGATTATGGATTGAATATGATATTTTGTCTTATTAGCTATTTAGTCTAATTTATCTTTTAGTAGATGATTTTAGCTCAACCCTCTTCCTAAACAAAACCATTATATGAATTACAATCTCAAGTCACCTCATTATAATTATGTCAAAATTATAGAACTTATTATGTTTTCTCTAAATTTTAAGAAATCAATGTAATTTACCTTTTTTTATGTATTTGTAATTTTTTTTTTTTTTTTTTTTTTTTTTACAGAATCCTCCCTGTTACAGAGAAATCATTACATCCATCGCAGTTCAAGACAACATCCGTGTTGAGATCATCAAGATATCTTATTGTCTGTTCCGAATGAGAGATTATAATCTGAGAATTTATATCAATCCCTCCACAAAAACCTTATTTAAGTCAAAACTCGTCTAATAGAGAGAAGTCGAACTAACGCCAATTTACTACGCCAACAGTACCTTGTAGCTCCTCTCAAACGAATTGCGCTACCACCCATAGGTTATATTTGTAAATTTATAAGAGAGAGAGATATATGAAAGCTACCATAGGGGACCGCAATCAAGGATTATGAAGTGTAAACAGGAATAATTGAAACATTGGTACAAAAACATCAAGGTCTTCCTCCTCAATCTCATTTGAGACTTTGAGGAGAGAGAGAGAGAGAGAGAGGCGATGAGCCATGAGCCATGGCATAGTTTGGGCCCACAGGGAATTCACAAGATGTAGACAGATAGCCAATGAGGAGGGAGAGAGTGAGATGGACTCCACAAACCCAGCCAATGAACAACTAGATGAGAGCCAAGTCATGGGTCCCAATCCCAAACGGCTCAATCTTTCACTGTTGATAACCACCGAAAGTGCATGGAGCTCTAGCCTCAGGGTTTGGCTCCCTCTATTAAAAGATCTTCTCTAATTAATTTAATACATAATTTTTAAAAAAAATTTAATGCTTGATATTTGTTTGAAATTTGTTTTACATTCTATACTTTGTATAAGTCATCAAAACTTTGTAAATTCGTTTGAGATGTGGGTTGATTTTTTTGCTTTAATTTGGATTAAAAAGTCTCATTTAAAATGAACTTTTTGGTTTTTTTTATTTTTGTGAGAGAAAAAATAAAATTATTATGATTTGGATGTGACATTTTATTTTATTAATTTTTTAGTCTATTTTGTCACTTTGTGACAATTTAGGCCAAGATTGGGATGCCAAACAAAGACTTAAAAGTCAGTTTATTAACTAAAAAAAAAAATTATTAAAAAAAGTTTCTTAACTCATTTGATAAATTCATTCTGTTAAAAATTTTACTTTAGTCCCTTTGAAAAGTTATTAAAAAAAAATATGAAAATGTTTAAAAAATGTCCAAAAAAATTAACTTTTTAGGCATTAATTTTTTTATAAGTTTATTTTAAACAATAAGCTAACTTTTAAAAGGAAATTAATAGGTAGTCATAAGGCTCCATCACCTTAGCACAATTAATTTTAGGTTGAATGTCTCTAATGGCTTTAACATGATATCAAATTGGGGGTTCTCTCATGAGCCAATTCCATTTCAGGTATCTAGTGTCTCATATATATTTTTTCACCTTCACATTCGACTAAACCAAGTGTTAGTGACTTATTTCTCCATAAGCCACCCAAATTTTGTTGATTTTGGTTAGATGTCTCCAATGATTCTAACGTTGTGCTTATATCATAGATTTAAATATAGATTTAGCTTAGAAAAATGAGATACAAGTCTATTTTTTAAATTTATTTTCTAGACTTAATGATATATGAGTGAGATAATTGGTTGATAGTTAGAGAAAATATGAGAGGGAAAAAAAATTACATAAGAGTGATTGGTTGATTGATCATTGGATATGAAAATTGAGTTTAATTTTTTAATTTTAATAGCACTACTCGTTAGCTTATATTCCATTCATATTTTTCTTAATTTTTGCATTTTCATTTCTAAATTCTTATTTAAATCTATAATTCAAACACTAAATTAAGAGGGGAAAAAAGTCATGACCATTGTAATATGAAAAATTATTAATCTTGAAATGTAACGTGACCATACTCTACACCAATTATGATTTACCATACTCTCTTATATTCGTCACCCACTCAATGTAAATTTGTAAATCTCATTCCCTCTTCCAATCATCAGAGCACCACGTGGAGGGGCCTAATACCAACCAATGTTGTCTTGTCATATTTGTTTGTCGCACCCTTGTGACGCGGGGTTGTGTGAAAACTTGTAGGTGCAGGAAGTACACTTTGAAAAACTATTTCTGAACTTTAAATTTAAATACAAAATTTAAAAAGTAAACTAGTAATAGATTTTAATAGTTGAATTTAATTTTTATCAAGTTTTATTAAAAATAAATTTTGATAAAATTATTATTAAAAATATTTTTTGTGATAATTTTTTATATATATCACTAAAAATTAACAATTAGTGACTTTTTTTATTATGATTTTTATAAATTATCGCTAAAATTTATAATTAGTGATATTTTTTATGTCAATTTTTTTCTCATATGACCTATTAGATAATAAGTCCACTTATTAGGATCTACACGTAAGTATTCCAAATTTAAGTCTAAATTTGAGGAACTGTCAAGCAAATATTACGAGAAATTTTTGTATATAAATAAGGTATCACGTGATATTATTTTTTATTAATTATAAATATATATATTTTTTCTTATTTTCTAAACACTCAACATAAATGTAATAAATGTAATGAACTCTACTATCAAAATCAATAATAATAATAAAAAATATCATACGATAAAAACCCTATCCGCATACAAAAATTACCAAATATTACTATTCTCTCCCCTAAGCATAGTGCAAAAGGGTAAAAGCGTCATTTGCGGGTCACACACCCCTTGCAATTATTGCACCAGCCCCATGTCCTAAATATATACATGAAATCTCGTGATATTCAAAATTTGAGCTTCTGAGTTTCTTCCTTCAAATTTAATCTTTCTATCAATCTTCAATCCATGATCACCACCAAGAAAGCCGCAAACGCCGTTGGCGGCAAGACTGCTCGAGCCTGCGATAGCTGTTTACGCAAGCGGGCTCGATGGTACTGCGCTGCCGACGATGCTTTCCTTTGCCAAGCATGCGATTCATCGGTACATTCAGCAAACCAGTTAGCAAGCCGGCACGAAAGAGTTCGGCTCGAGAAAGTAACTTCTAAAAAAGCCACAATTAACTTGGCTAAGATCGATAATTTTGCACCGGCTTGGCATCAGGCGTTCACCAAAAAGGCTAGAACACCACGACATGCAAAGCCGGTGCAGAAAATCACGAACTCTCTTCCTCTAGTCCCAGAAATCAGTAGCGAAGAGGGTTCGCCAGAGGAGAATATTGAACAACTTCTTTATCGTGTACCGGTTTTTGACCCATTTGATACCGAGCTATGTGGGGTTGATAATAAAGTGGCGAATGAACAAGCTGAAAGTGTCGTGGGCGGCGAACTTAACGGCGGGCACAATGAACCATGTGATTTGGATAATTTTCATGGGTTTCTTCCACCGGATATGGATTTAGCAGAGTTTGTTGCCGATGTTGAGAGCTTATTAGGGACGGGACTCGATGAGGAATCGTTTGGGATCGAAGGGTTAGGACTTTTAGACTGTAAAGAAGAAGATACTATGGAGAATACTTGTTTGGAAGGTAGGAAAGTTAAAGTTGAAAATGAAGATGGAGATGGAGAGGATGTTGTGGGTTGTCAACTGGGTATGGAGATGGCAAGAGAGACAATAGATTGGAACTTCGATTATGAGTCTCCAGTGACCGGAGAGGAAGAGAAGATTATGGTGGTAGCAGAGATGGAGACGATGAACGGTGAATGTAGAGAAGAAGTGGAGAGGAAAATATTTCTGAGGCTGAATTATGAGGCAGTGATCAGTACTTGGGCTAGCCAAGGGTGTCCTTGGACAACCGGAAGCCGACCGGAGTTGAACCCTAATGACTGCTTGCTGGACTTCATGGTACTCTCCCTCTCCCCATCCAATTTGTGTAGTCTATACTTATTTTTGCATTTGTATATATACATCTGCATTGCAATACACATATAAATACATATATATAGGTTTATCATTTAGGATGAAACCCTAGTTAGCTAGTCCATGCACACAAGCTTAGTTTAAACTATGAGAGAGATGAGTAATTTTATTATTTATACTAAGTTTTTTAACATAAACAAGCCGAACACATACATTTAAGTATCATAAGTGGTTAGACAATGAAGTTCTATTACAAAATTTATTCTTTGTTCTGATGTCAAGTTAAATTGTTACAATATTTATTAATTCATCTAAAAAATTAACTAAACTTCAACTTATTAAAGAGGAGAATAACCTTATTATTTATATGCTCAACAATTTCAATGACTTGTTTAATATTGCTCGAAGTCAAATTTAAATTCAAAAAACAAAAACAAAAATCCTATGCAATACACTTAGACTATTGTTTTAGAGAAGTAATAGATAGGTGGTCTTACTTTTAAATTTCTTTGGGAGAAGTTGATTCACATAATTCGACATCATATCAAGACTAATAGTGGTTCAAGATTTTTGAGATTTCAAACAACTAGACATTAAAATAAGTCTTTCACTATGGTTTTAAGAACTCGAGGCCTTTAAGAATTTTTTTAAACTTTCTTGGTAGATCTTAAGTAACAGGTTAAATGGCCTAATAGCTAAGTCATCTTTAATCAAAGACACAACCTTTTTTGGGATAGAAATTAATCCCTCCCACCCCGCCACCCCCCAAAAAGAAGAGCTTTATACAATATTTGATTGAATGGGTTTTGTTTAACATGAAGTTACTATATAAGTGTGTAAAAATTTTGCAGGGTTCTTCTTCAAATCCATGTGTGGGGATAGGAGGAGGAAGGCATGGGAGATGCGGCGATGGGGAGAGAGAAGCGAGAGTGACGAGGTACAGAGAGAAGAGAAGGACGAGATTGTTCTCGAAGAAGATAAGATACCAAGTTAGGAAACTCAATGCCGAGAAGAGGCCCAGAATGAAAGGTCGTTTCGTTAAGAGGTCATCCTGCTTTGCAGCAGGAGGCCCTGCTTTCCCTAATTATTTGATCAACAAATAATGGTCGGTCAACTGCCAAATTTGCTTCTTTTTTTTTTTTTGTGTGGCAAAATTGGAATGTTTTTGTTTGCCTTTTAATGGCCCTCATCATATATGTATAATGCAATAAAAGAAAGTAGTTTTATGCAATCTCTCTCTCTTACAAAACCATTTTATTATTCTAAACTTTCTTCTCTTGCTTGACATTCATTTAATATTCCCAAACTTAACAATCTAAATCACTAATTTACAAAAAAAAAAACAAAACAAAAAAAAACAAAAAAGTCACTCAGACTGGAGGTTCAATTCAACTGCTCAAACTGTCCAAGCTGAAGACAAACTCAACCCATGCACAAATGACCCCACAAGTCTGGTTGAATCTTTAGTACACCTCCTTTAGCTACAACAAGATATACATGAAATTATGACCCGAGTACAGTGTGTCCTGACTCCGGTGATTTAGTGTGATTGCTGGCATAATGAAAATCACAACACATATGGCACATCTTTGGATGGTTAGGCACTATAGATTAATATATTACGTTGTTTTGGGATCATGAATTTTAGTAAAAGTTTAAAAAAAATACATATATATATATATATATGAAACAAATTGAGCAAAAATTTAATTTATATTTCATTCACATGTCTTTTCTTTAAAATTTGTAATTCAAGTACAACCTTAAAAGTTTGATGTACTAAGTGGAAATTGGACTTGTTGAACCACAACAAACATTCTTCAAATATTTTAGAAATTTTTGCAGCCAAATCATTGAGGAGTTCCACATGAAACTTTGTAGCAAAGTCGTGTGGTCCTTTCACTATGGACTAACAAATTAATCAAAATAGAACACTTCATTTTATAAGATATCAAATAAATATTTGGAAGAAACATGTTAAATAATTCCTCGAGTCAGTGAGTGACAAATTAGAACGCTCCTTAAAGAAAAAAAGATAAGATGAAGACATGAATTGCAGTAACCCCAAAGAATTAGCCTAGTGGGTATAACTTGGAGTCTAGGGGTATGCTCCCACTAGATCATAAGTTCAACTCTCATTAGAAACAATCACTACAATATATAAGAGTATTAGAAACTAAATGTTTTGGTCTCTAAAAGTGAAAATTTTGTTACAAAAGATATTTAGAGACCAATTTCTATCGTTACGAGGATAGTCGTTAAAAGGTTGTCTCGAAAAGTCAAAAATAAAGTTTTTAGCGACAAAATTTTGAAAATGTCACTAATAAATGACTTTTAGGGACAAAGTAATTTGGTCTCAAAATAGTTTATTTTTTGAGACAAAATTTGATCTCAAAAGAATAATAATTCATCACTAATGTCTAATTTTTGTTGCTAAAAATATAATAGCAACACTTTTCGCAACAAAATTATTTGGTTCCTAAAATATAATTTTTTTCTTAAATTTTGGTCTCTAAAACGTTAATTTTTTGTAGTGAATCCGTTCCTTGGATTCACACCCACAGGCTCTACTCGAGATTTGCCCGATCCACGTAAAGAGAACGCTTTGTGTGGGTCTCGAGATTTGTCGAGATGCACATAAACTGATTCAGACACCCAATCATAAATTTTTTTTTTAAAAAAAAAGGACATGAATTGCAGTCGGTAATGAACCAAAAAAAATAATAAAATTGGTTGAATATGTTGGGAGTTAGACAACTAGTGAACAAAGTTCAACTAAAATTCAACTCATTCTATATAGATGGAACAAGAATGAAAGACTAGGGTAATCCACAGTTATTTGTGAAAGAAAGCCAATGGGAGCTTCTATTTGCATACCATCTTGTTTTTTTAAGTTCATATTTATTTGTTTGGATATCAATTATTAAATATAAATTAATTGTTCAAATATCAACAACTAAACAAAAATTAATTAGCCGAATATCAACTATCAAATTGACTTTTGATTCGGTAATTGATATTTGAATCATGTATTTAGGAAATTGTTATTCAAACAAAAAATTTATGTGGTGTGCTTTGGACTCAAAGTTAAATGTGTTGGCCTTTAAGCTCAAAAAACATTCAGTACCTTTGACTTAGTGGTTGTGTTGTACTAGTGTAAGGTTTCGGGTTTAAATTAACTCCTATTAATGTATACCGTAAACACACAAAAATAAAATAAAAAATAAATAAACCTTAAGTTCAAAAAATAAATTTATGTCCTGAACATCCTCAAAAAAATAATAAATAAATAAATAAATATATATATATTATATATATAATTATTTATAAAAAATTCCAAATGCAGAGGTGGCTGAAATTTAAGGGTATCCATTCAACAACTCATCAAGGCCCAAATCCTCATATATGTATGGACAACAAAGTGGATGAATCAGTAGACCCAACAAAATAATCCAAGAGGCCTCTAGTTTCTTTATTTGAGGAAAGGACTTTTTAGCAAATATATATATATATATATATATTATTTTAGCCAATTTTTTAATTTTCAGAATAAAAACCCAAAATTCAAAAAGGGAAAATGTGACATTCAAATACTTTTTTACAAGAAGTTACTTGGTAGCCCTGGGGTACGTTCAAGAGTTGCCCAGAAGTATTGTACAATAATTGATGAAAAACAATAAGATCCATAATTTTGTACTGGAGTATAAAAGAATAATAAGAGAACTTGGCATTTTGTGATGGGGTTTTAAGAGAAGAAAAGTATATATATATATTCTCAGTAATAAAACTCAAATTTAAATATCATGGTCTCATAGAGGAGCACTTCATCAACTAGGTCAACTCCTCAGTCTTCAAAATGATGGAATTTTTACATGGTTAATGTATATATAGGAATGGCAACGGGGCGAGGCGGGTCGGGGCCGGGCATCACACTTTTTGTCCCTAATCCCTAATGGTAAAAATTTTCCCTTCTCCGGCCCTGATCCCTGATGGGAAACCTATAATCTTCACTATGTAGGAGAGGGTTCAAGAACACCGTTGGAAAATTCGAAGATCTTCGAAGATCCTTGAAGAACAACTTCGAAGTCTCTAGAAGATAATGAGAGGCTTAGATTCTTCAATAGTCTCAACTTAAGAACACAAGAGTAAAGGAGATGATGGAGATAAGAGATTGGGTGAAAAAGAAGGCAAAATGGCTAGAGAGAGAATAATGGCAAGGCTCTCCCATGAATCTCCCACTTTCACTCCCAAGGTTGATAATGGAGAAGGGGAATTAGTTCTTTCCCAAGAGTTAAAAATCTCCAAAATCCATCTCTTGTAAAGCTATGGGTGGGTGCTATTTATAGGCACCTCATGATGTAGGATGGAGCCCATGTGCAAGGCACATGGGGAATATTCTCTCTAACCACCTTGTCCGAGGAGGTGACCTCTCCGAGGATGAGGAAAATCTCGAAGAGGAGATCAACCTCTCGGCGAACCCTTTTTCTTAGCCACACCTAACCAATGATCCCCAATCATCCCAAAGGGTCAGGGGTAGTCCCAGAGGACGTCCTGCTGCATAAGGGTCAGGGTAGTTCAAGAGAACGCCCTGCCGCAAATATTGCCGAGTCTTATGGACCCCCCGGAGTCGTGCCACCTCGACCCAGGTATAGGCTAGTTTAACCGAAGAGTAAATTTATCTCCACTCACTATCCTCAGGATCGGGTCCTTTGTTCGAACTCCATTAGGCCCATGGTTCTGGTGCGTAGATCCCGAAAAGCTCCGAGCCCGCAAGTGTTCTGGGACTCATTAACGGAGCGGCTTCTAGGTTGTGTTTGAATCCATTCGAAGCCAAGTGCTTCGGATCTCTAGATTCGTGGATCCGAATCCTTTCGAGTCTGAGTGCCTCGGGTCTCTAGGATAGCTCAGTACCCTTTCGAGTCCAGGTCCGAGTAAGTCTCTAAGTTCGTGGATCCGAACCCTTTCGAGGCTTAGAGCGATTCAGCCCGTTTGATGGCAATAAATTCGGGCCCACCAATCTTGGACTTGCGATAAATTCAGGCCCGCTAATCTTGGGCTATTGGGTCTAATTAATTTAGCGGACTCAAATTAGCTCCTCTTACATTTGCCCCTTGCGTGTATGAGGAATTTTTTTTTTTTAAATTTTTCGGACACGCATATTGTCGTTTCTTCGGCCCTACTTCGCATCACGTCCCAAAAAAAAAAAAAATGTTGTCTCGACAGAGCCTATGGATAAAGTTGATGACGCACTGTAATTTATGGATAAAATTTGACAAAGCAAAAGAAAAAAAAAAATTTGCTCTTTTTTTTTTTTTTGTGCCACTGATATTTTAGAAAAAATGAGAAAATATACATGTATATTTTTACTCCAAGAAAAATAAAAAGAAATAAGGCACTCATTTTTTTATTCCTAAACAAACAAAAAAAAAAGAAAGGATAATACTCTCACACATTTTTCTTGTTTGGCAAATCAGCCAATCCACTACATACATATACATGCATACGTGTATATAGAATATTGAGGGAATATTCCAAGAATAGTACCCATTTTTTTTCTATTTAAGGAAAGGCTCAAAACCTTAAACCTCACCAACTATTTGCACAACCGCCATACCCATTTCAGCCTACTCTCTCTCTCTATATCAAGAGACCCAGTTTCTTCCTCTCCAAGAAGGCTTCGTTTCTGCACTGCCAGAGGCCACCGATGTGCTCTTCTTCTTCGGCAAACCACATAGCTCCGCTTGCGCAATGACCTTCATCGTGACTCCAGGCCCCATTGCCGCCGCCGTCGTCACTGAAGACCTAGCTCCGTCTGCCACAGACACCATAACCAAGCTGCTGACTCGCTCCAGTTCTGACTACTGCGGACGTCGTAACCCCGGATGCTGCTATTCTATGCCCTCGCCAACTCTGTCTCACCGTAGGAGCTTCATTTTGGCCTAGAGATCCAGACACTCCGAAGCTCGGTTATGCCGACCAACATGACTCCGACCTCCCTGCAACGTCACTGCTCCTCTGCGTCGTTACATCCGACGCCGACCTTGACTGCCCAGCTACTCCGGAGCTCGGCGTTGTCTTCACTCTGCTGCCACTTCACCACCGGCCTCGGCTGTCCAGCGTTCTTCCTCATCTTTGCTTTTGGTAGGCATTTCGAATATATATATATATATATATATATATATATCTATTGATGATGATGATATATATATATATATATATATCTTTTTTAGA